TTAAAAATCTAGAGGAAAGTTCTCTGTTTATCCATGCAAAGTATAAAATGAGGTATACAAAGTATAAAAAGAAATGTCCTTGCAAGGCATTTCCTAGCATAAAAATGCTCCTGTCCATTCCTTGCATGGAAAACCTATTAAAATATATATTTCACCGGGAGCCAGATGGCTATCTCAGTTGTTCATAATGGAATATTGAGCTGTTTTACCTGTCAGCTAACAGATTCAAATCTGGCTCATTTCAGTAATAAATGAAACTCATTTCTTTTTTCTGTTCAGAGATTTTTGGAGCAGTGTGGGCTGAGACACTGGGAAGCACCTCAGGTAACAGACTGCACTGGAGCAACTAAGTTAAAGTACCTGTCACCAGAAAGGGTTCTTCTCAGCCTACTGGGGGAAAACACATCATTTCAGTTTAAAGACTTCTATAGTTATGGATGGGAGAAAAAAACAGAAATAGAAATATAAAACAATAATAGTTATTTCCGGAATGGATGAAAATATTCAGGTTTAAAATATTAGCGTTTATCAAATTTATGCTATGTCTTAATGAAGTAATCATTCAATGACTACTAGGAACAAATGGAAAGCAAGAAAGAGAATGACATGGCAAAAACAAAACAGCTAAGAATCAAATATGTGTAAGAAACTACGTTGTGATCCCTGCTTACTCTCTAGGTTGTGTCAAGAGAGCGGATGAAACAGTCTTTAGAAATGATTTTTTTTTAATTTTTAAATGATATAATCTGCTATAAGTTAGGATGCAGAAGCATAAGCCACACAACTTGCACTCTACTGGAAGGCTTAGACCTGACCAGAAAAGCACAAGAAGTCATTGGCATTTGCCCCCTGAAACTATGCTGACTGAATGCCCTTTTACAAATAATCTCTTCGTTACAGTTACATCCATAGGTAGTCTTTCCCTGTGGCTGCTCTTATATTTGATTTGGGAAACTATCAGAACTCCAGAAATAAAGTCTTAATAGCAAGTCAAAATCATTACTAGACATGTAAACAATACAGAATCACAGAATGGCCAAGGTTGGAAGGGACCTCTGGAGATCATCTAGTACAATCCCCCTGCTCAGGCAGGGTCATCTAGAGCACATTGTGCAGGCTCGCATCCAGGCAGGTTTTGAGTATCTCCAGGGAAGGAGATGCTATTACCTAGAACTTTTGTTTTTAACTAGGTGCTCCTTCAACCACTTGACAACTTGCTGCAGATAAAAGTGCTTCTGGTTCTAATACCTGTAATCGTCCCACATTTGAGGCTTTTGATTCTTCATCCTAAAGGTCTTAACCTTACCACAGGTTGTCAAAGGATGCTTTTTAGTTTCTAGTATGGAGTAAAGAGGAGCATACCTGAATGATGCTTTCTGGACCATTATGTGCTAAGTTTTTTGTATTTGCTTGTGAGGAAATAGATGGTCCGATGGTCCTTACAAGTTCTCTATTCCGATGTTCCAAACTGAAGTCAGCCTTTGATTATAACCTTCTGTTTGCTTATAGTTTTACCAAACTACCCAAATCCCAGCTTTTTTTTTTTTTTTTTTTTTTACTGCTAGGAATCTACATTGACTTAGGTCACAAATTTCCAGGGCTGACACAACAGTTAGGTGCAGGCTACCAAGAAAACTATTATACTTCACCTGCTATCAGCTACTTATAAAAGCCTGACCAGAGTTTGTCCTCTGAATAAAGCTGTTCTCCTCTAATGGGAAGGAGTAGTTTGTTATCGACTGACCTTTCTAGGATGCATTCCTGATTAGGAGAAACTGATGCAGCAGCCACAGAAGTGACTCAAGCAGTCTCGGGGCACAATAAGCTGCTTTATAAGCAGCTTCTAAAATGTGAAAACACACACAAAAGTATAATTGACTGCACAACAGCTGAAGGGAATGATATATAAGACTTCACGTTTACTATATATTCCAAACGTTAAAGAGAACAATATAATATTAACAAAGAAGCATGAAACAGCATATGTTTACAAAGTATCGTTCTTACTGCTGTGGCATTATCTGCGCAAGCTGTGTCAACAAAGGATTATGCAGTTAGAAAAGTATAAATAGATTTTATATTCTAATTTATTTTTCTATATTTTTTCTTTAATGGAGAATGTCTGTCTTTTGATGGAAACACAATTTGTAGAAAGAATAAGGTTTCCAAATATGACAGTTTCAGTAAGTCAAAACTTGTTCTCATTTAAGACCGTGGTAGAAACTTTAGAGGACGGCACTAGACATAATTCTGATCCAGCTGTTTTTCCCAAAACTAGATTGGAGAAAATCTCATCTGTCTTCCACTAACACGAGTCTCATGCTTTCACTTTCTTCATGAACAAAGTAACGGGGGATTTTTGCTACTTGTGAACAGGAAGTCAGATACTGCCATATTGGAAGTAAGAATGTTGTTTAAGTAGTTTCCAGAGAAAACATTGTTTGCCACTGTTTTCTGCTCCAGTTTTCAGAGGAAGGTAAATGTTTGCAGAGTAGAAAGGCTTACTGAGTAGATATTGCAAAATAATGTTTTGCTGATAGTTTATATATCCAGTATGTTTTAGCCATTGAAGCAAGAAGGGATGCTTCAATCCAGCTGCTAATATCAGATGATAAAACTTCTATTTATTACTTTGTGACAGATCCTCACAGATGGGTAACAGAGCCATCTAGAAAAGATGAATGTGGAATGTGTTTTGCTTGTGTTTCAGTGAATGACACATACTGTGCGAGCAATTCATTTCACAAAACTTTAGACATCCAAAAGTTAGGAGTTTAATTTAATCAAGGATACCCTTTGAAATCATTATGGAAGACCTAGACAGCTCCCAGAGGCAATTTATTCCAACCTAAAGTGGAGCTAGAATAAATCACACTTTGAGGATGATTTAGTCCAAAATCACTCGAGATACAAGCCCATGCACAGGGGGGATAGACCTCAGCTGCATTTCAGAAAAAGTTACTGGAGAAAGCTTAGGCTTTTGTTGCCTCTCAGAGCACAACCAGGAGACCTGCAGCCTGTATGAAACTGGCAAGCCCTTACCAGCTTGTCCAGAACTTCATAATATATATCTGTTTCTTGGTATTGTCACATGGTTCATACCGTGCAAGAGCATGTCTTGGGGTTCCTCCTACAAGGGCTATGATGTCAGATACTGCAAGGGCAGATCTATTTTGTAAGCAGCCTAATTTTGTATGCAGCTGCATTTATAACTGAGGACAAACTATTGACATGTTGGCAGTATTTTAAAACATTTCTTGGCTTGGCCACCTGAAGTGCAATTTAGACATAAGCTAAATCTCTATGGGAAGGCATAATGCCAGGTTCTTATAAATAAGCAATTATTCTATCTTCAAGCCATCACCTCATATAATATCTCCAAATTATCACATTCACTTGAATCTTCAGTGCTTGTTGCAGATAATTTCTAACACAGCAGAATGCTTAGAACATGAAACCCAGCCCCAGCTTGCCTCCTTTCTGAGATCTGGCCACAGAAGAAATATTCCGTATTCAGTCCACTTAGGAGAAAGGAGATAGTCTCTATTTCAGCCTGAATGCAGATTAAAGTGCTACATTGTACTGTAACTTCCCTGCCACAACTTTTGAGAAAACCAATGCAGCAATTTTGTGTCATGACATTTAAGTAACACTTATATGAGTTAATCTATATTAGTACAGAACTGAAGGTTCTATTTCTAAGCACATAAAGTATCCAATCATCTCTCTTTAATAAAGCACAAAAGCTTTATTACAAGGAGCATGAAAGTAATTGAACTGGCAACTGTTCAGTTTTACTTGTGCTTTTTGGAAACTTCTGCTCTGTTAAAAACTTACTGTGCTATTTACAACTGATCAGGAGGCTTTATTTTTTTCCTTTTCCTTATTCCATTTTAAATAATATCCTTTTCCATTTTAGTTTTATTAATATTTCCATTTAAAATGGAAAGGATATACTATCCTTTCTTTAAATACAGCTTCATTGAAATGTTGGGATTTGTATTACTATATTTATGGAAGAAGTATAATGACATGTTTTGATGTGTGACTGAGCCCATCATCCTTCTTTGTCTGTAAGATTCACATTGTGTGACTGCATGAAATATATCCCTGTGATAAGATTTCTGAGCCAGAATTTTTAATTTCATTTGAACAGCAAAGTCTAGATTGAAGTAAAAAAGCTGTGAAGGAAAAAACTGCAGAATATTTTGATTTTTTTTTCTTGTATGTACTAAGATGTCAACAATTTTCTTTGAGAGTGGGCAGAAAATACAAGTTAGCAAACTAAATTAAAATGGACTTTCTTAAAGCACTTTCATTTTTTTCTATAAAATGCTGTTTTCATCTTACATTGCACAAGAAACCAGATTACAGACAACACAATGTTCTGTTTTTCACTTCCTGTTTCAGAATATCCTTGGTCCAAAAAGTTGATTCCAAGAGACCTCCTTTCTTTCACTAAACTTATTTGTTTGACTAACTTGTCTGCCTGTTTACTTTGTGACATTACTCAATTGATGTTGTCTCTGCCCATCTGTTTTTCCTCCTTGGGACTTGCCCCTTAAGAAACACCTCCTCCAGGTGACATCCCTATTTACTGAGACATGATCAAAATGCTAACATTTGTCTGAAAGATCCATATAGCAAACATCTGTAGTATTCCTAAAGTGTTCAGGCACCCAGTGCTCTTGGCTTTTCTCAATGGAATGCAGAACAGATATGGATGAACGTAACAGATTTAAAAACTGGTATCTTCAGATATAATTTAAAATGCTGAACCTCTGAAAAGCAAAACCCATGACAAAAATAAGTCTGATAGAAATGCATTTTACATTACCCACAGCAGAATAATAGCAGAAAAACAAACAAAATCATGTACAGAAGCCATTCTAGAGATGAACTGAATTTTTAAAAGTAAAATAAATAAGTCTTTAAAAGAATAATCTATCTTCTCAAACTTGGATTCAGTGTATTTGTTTGTAGGGTAAAATGAGCTTTGATTAAAACCTGAAACAAATTGAAACAATTCATGTGATTTACATTCAGAAAATTCCAATGCAATGAGTTTTAAAAGAAGCAATCCTCTAAAGAAACAATTCAGGCCAGTGTGAACTTTTGCTTCTTGTCCCTCCCTCTTTCCTTTCCCATTTGGTCTAGAGGAAAAAAAAACATTATTTTCAAGGTGATAGCTCTTTTAAATCTACTTAGTAGTATTCTGTTTCGTGACAGCGTGGAATTTGGAAGAGAGAAGAAGAGTCATTCGAGGGGCACCAGAAAAGACTGCGTACTGTGGAGCCACCTTGAGTCACAGAATACAAATAAATAGTAGTGAGAATACAGACAGACCAACAGATATCATTTTATTACATAGAATGGCAAAGGTTATGTGGAATCATTAGGGCCACAGTTACATACTCATTTTAATCCACAGTAAGTTCAAGGTGCTCCTCAAAGAGGCAGTTTCATCCATTCTTTGTCCTTGGCTACTCGTGTGCCAGCAACACTGTAGGCGAGGCTGTAGGTGAGAGACAAAACAGAAAGTTTGTTTGCATCTAGATCAATTCCAGCCCATTGCTGATGTGACTGTAAGAAGCACCCAGAAGAAACAAATGGCAGGGGAGCAGTGGGACTGTACCTTTTCACTACATGCATGACCAAATTGACCACGTAGCCACAGCCTAAGCGCGTCACACCTAATCTGATCTAATATGGACTACTACTGAGCTGGGCAGGTGAGCCTGCTTTCCACCTGTCGTGTGTTCCTGTCCTGATGGTCCTGCCCTGTGCTTGCACTGGATCTATCAGCCTCGGAGCCACATGTTTTTTTGGTAGGGTAGCTTTCTGTCAGATCAACAAACTAATCTAGCTCACTGTGTGGTTGTATAATTTCAAAATTTGACACAGGTATTGAGATTGAATGTGAAAACTGTATCCTACCATCACTGTGATTAAGGAGACATCATGATGGTTGGACATCACATTCTCATTAAAAAAAAAAAAAGTATTATGTCAGTGTAATTGAAAAGTATTTTTCTATTTTAATTTTTACAGAATTTCCTGGGTTTGGAAAACATTTAAAGCATACTGGAATTTAATTCCATTTCCTCTTTGATGAGAAAAATCCCAATGGCCTCGTGTCTGTTTGTTTTTCAATCATGCAGCTGCAGGATTTCATCCTAGTTCTCAACAAATAATTGAAATTGAGACTGACCTGTAAAGTAATAAATTAGGACTATTATTTCTTAAATATTTATACTTTTTTTTTAATGGTAGCATAAAAACACAATTACACGGAGACTTTTGAAGGTCTAACTCTAATAGGGACTGCTCCGGGGGCTCTACTACCACTAAGGAAGGTGAATTCTCTTTCGCAGACTTGCAGAATCAGTTCAACTTCCCGTACCTGTTTTCAGAAACTTGTGTGTCCTTGCCAAGCAATTGACAGTAGCAGGCCATTAAGACTGGCCTTCACTGTAGTCTGTTTTCTCCCCAGTCACACAGAATGAGATCAGATATATCAGTTATTGCTGCACTTTCCAGGCAAGGTGCCAGCGTTTTTGCTGAATGCTAACAGCAGCATACCTTAACAAAGACAAGTCTTGGTGACTGTTTTCCTATTTTATTAAAAAACAAACAAAAACTTTGTGTAGATGTCTTGATGAAGTGAAACTCTAGCATAATTAGATGCCTTTTCTTTTGCAATAAATTGGATCTTAAATCAGCTCAAATTCTTACAATACATTTTTCAACAAAAACCTGCATAATTTGGCAAAAACAGGTTAAATCCAGATTAATTGTTATGAAATCTGTGATGATAATACAGATATCTTCTATATCATCCTTGCTACACATCGTCCTAATCAGTAAGATAATGAATATCAGAAAAAGAAACAAATGGATGCCTAAATGTCACAATTGTTTGCTTTAACAGGGAACATTGAAAGCATAAAGAATGTATTTTAGCAATTATTTCCTCTCTTCATTGCTTACTGTTTTTATTATTTTATTATAATTTGTCATACAAATCCAAACCAGGCCAGCTCAACTTCTTTTGTGTACAGACAATAACTAAAAAGAATTTAAAAGGACACTAAAGAGCTCCCCTAAGTAGAATATATTTTATAGCAATTGATGAAGGTTTTTTCAGGCTGAAGGTTGTTTTCTCCTCAGTGAGATCAAAATAAGATTGTTTTGGAAAAGCTTTATGTGAGAAGGGTCATTGACACTCACATTTAAAATAATTATTATTGTAAAATTAATAAACATTTCTTTTTTTTTTATACAAGCCTTTAGAATACTTCCCATAAGTAACAGCAGGTCTGTCTTTTTGTTTGTTGTGGCAGATGTTCTTTACATCCCAGATTTTTTCTAACAACGACAGAATGATTTGGTGGGTGAAGGATATGTATATCAGTCAGATAGTGTCATTAAGAGCCCAAGCCAGAGCCCATTCAAGCCAGTGGGAATCAAGGACTTCACATTTTTCATTTCTTGTTAGGAGAGAAGGGGTTTTGATTATTAAAACAGAAGAGAATGACTTTCTTTCCTTGTAGTGCTCACAGTTTTTTCCCAACTGTGAGGAAGAGGAAGGTGGTATTAGTGGAAGAATCTGTCACTGCACAAATACATGGCTGGGTCTGTGACCCCAAAGAGGCTTGCACAGTGACTACCAGGTGGCAGTCCCCTTAAGTAATCTGGATAGGCTCCTCAGAATTGCTGGGAGGGGGCTACTGGTTGTAGTGTACATGAGTAATGACAAAGGGAAGGGCATTTAGGTAAATGAGAAGGAAGCTGAAGACCAAGATGTCTATGATAGTATTCTGTAAAATGCTTCCTGCACCCCATGGGACCATGAGAAGAGGTGTAAGGCAGAGTTTTACTACTTTGATTGGATGGCATAAGGAAGAAGAATGCAAATTCATCATGAATGGAGGACAGTTTCAGAATAAAGGGAATACTTTAACTGAAATTCATCTGAATGACCAGGGGAGCATAAGTGTGTTAGGGAGCAGTGAGAGAGAACTGCTCCACAAGGCAAGGTGAGTCAGGAGCAGATAGTGACAGGAAGGCAAGCAGGGAAGTGTCCGCACCAACAGGGCACAGTGCCACAGTACCCGAACAAGAAGAGGAGAGCAGGTCTGGTAATGGTAACCAGGGTCAGCCAGTAGTCTGAAGATTGCCAGCCAAGGACATCATGATGAGGCGGGTCCATGGTTGAGCCAGGAAGCCAAGTCTGTGGGACAGGATCAGTGATGTACAAGGCCAGGCACAAGCACACAACGTAGTTCAGGCAAGGACCATGGGTGAGGGCCTGAGCTCAAATACAGATCCCAAGCTAAGGGGAGGGCGCCAGCAAGGCTTCTCCCAGCGCCTTCTCACCTAGCTGTTTCCCCAGAGTCTGATCCAAAGTCGCAGGGCACCACATCACTGCTGGTCTTGGGCACAGGCAGCCAAATCCCGCTAGAAGGGTGAAGAGGTTGCAGAGCCTGTTGGTACACTCTGGGCCCAGACAAAATGTATCGCTTTGTCATACTATGTGATTTCAAGCCTGACACTTAAAATCTAGAAAGTTATAATGGAGCTTTTAAACTGGAGACTTCGAAAGAGCTCACAAATGCACAAGAACACAGGGTTCTAAAAGGGTAATGCTGCTGAAAAGGAAAATTTGGAAGTTCTGTATCCTCAAGTGAAAGATGAGGATAAGATGTAAATGCTCAAACAGGAAATGGAAAACTAACTGAGTGTTATTTAAATGAGGTCCCAAGATGGGAACAAAACCGAGGTACACGTGCTTATGGACAAATACTAGAAGTTTAAGAAATAAGATGGAGGAATGGGAATGTCTTCCCTTACATTAAAAAAATGACATACCAGACCTATTGGAAGCTTGGGAAGAAGACAAGCAATTGCACACTGTAGCATTAAGAGACAAAATATACACAGGAGATAGAATAAGTTGTGCCCAAGTACAATTAAACTGGGTGACAATGTGAGAGACAGGGTCCACTGAACATTATAACATTTTAGGGGAGCATGGGTAAAAGGGTATTTTAAGAGGAAAAAATAAACCGGTTTTGCAGATGTTTATATGGAACACTTTTTAAGTATGAAGGATGCCTGGAAAAAAAGCTTATCTGAAAAGTTAACAGAGAACAGGAGGCTAATGCATTGTGTGAAACAAAATCCTATGGCAAACATCATCTGCCGTAAGAAATGGCAGATGCAGGAAAGAGTAATCTGTGAAGAGTCTTCAAATCAAAACCAAGTAATTTATGACTGATGCAGCAGAGGAGCATTCACTGGAAGAATAAAAATGGAAAAGGACCATGGCAGAAGCTGAGAGAAATCATTCAAAGCAGATATGGCAACACCAGTATAGTATTTCGTAAAACCAGAGAAAGGAATAGTGACACAAATGAGAAGGGACATGAGCCTTCAGAATTTTAGCTGACTGGGCAGATGGGAAAGCTGTAGGTTAGATGTTTTACACAGAATCTTTATGATGTAACTTTAGTGGCAGGATCTGCAGAGAGCTCTGAGTTGAGGACGATGTACCTTGTATGGGCATAAGCGACAGGGGCTGGTATTAGGGTGCGTCAAAAAGGTAAGCACGGAGAGTCAGGTGGAGTGCGGGAAGGTCTCTGTTTTAGGTCTGTTAAACTTGAGCTTATAAAGATCTATAAAATGATGTATTTTTCTCAAGTTAAAATAGCTGCTTGATTACGGACTAGGCAGGACTAGAACGTAACCCAGAGTCATGTGAATGTGTGCGTTCCCACACTGTGAGCAGAGGGAACAGAAGGCAGGAGTTTGACTATTGTATCAGTCTGAAAGCAATAGAAATAGATAAATAGATAGAGCCATCATTCCTAGCCCCTGCATTTGACACTTGCATCAGCAAAAGAGAGAAGGGCCCATCTCTACCTTTGATATATATGATTAGTGACAACCTCAGATTTCATGCATTATATAGAACAGATCTAAAAACCTATCACTTACTGAGATTCGACAGTATCTTTGAAACTCTTTCTGCATCAGAAGTCAGATCATATGTATAAATAAGATATGCACAGGACAGAAATAATTTCCAGTCCTAAAAAAAGATGCACATTACTTAGCCTGACTAAGCCTGACGTGCAGAACTAAAAATCATATTCTAGTATTTCTTAACCTTTTAAATCTTAATACAACCTTTTAAGCTCAGAAAGCTCTTCTGCTAAAGATACATATTGCTGGGGTTTTTTAACTTTCTTTTTCTATGCATGCCGCATAATCAGAAAAAACATAATTAATGGTCTGAGGCTGGGATAGGTCCAGGGAGTCTAAGAAATGTCTTGCTACCTGACAGGAACACTCCACGGCAGCATTTGACTGCACTAGACCTTGCAGCAGTCTGCAGCTTATTATTTCCAAGTCTTACTGTTTAGAGACTATTGATACTAGATTTCCTCTTTTTGTAAAGCAAAGACATCCGATTCAGTCTTTTTCTCTTTATAGCTTACAATATAATACTAGACAAAAGAGCAGAGATCACTGAGACAGGTGCTTGCTGTCATGGTACAGTTAAAGAGTGAAAGCTGGAACAATTCTCTTTGGAAAGATATCTGAAGAGGTCAGTTTCCCTACTAGAGATGGTGATGTTTTGATGGGCAATAAAAGAGTCTGGTGTTTGGATTCAGACAGGTAGGTCATGGCTTTAACTGTCTGCTCAATGACAGGAAAGAAATGTAGATAGAGGATTTCTTCTTATTATTTCTCCATTCATAGTTGATGGATGATTTAAAAACATACTTATTCTTGAGTTTATTCCCTAGGTGAGGAAATGCTGTATTAGTCCATTTCTTTCTTTGAAACACAAAGCTTTCATTAAACTAAGAATGATATTTTTAAGGTTACTCATGTAAGTACGACCATATTCTCTGCTGACTTGCTATTGTGCAACTCCTTCTAAAATGGTCTTTACAGAGCAGTAACAAAGATTCCTTTCTTAAAGCAAAAGTACAGTTACAAGTATCTTTTTCTTCAGCAGTGGAAGAGTGCCACTGAAATGGAGATTCAGACAGCTACTCTTGCAACAGACTCTGCACTTAAGCACAGACCTGAAGTGTAGACATTGGAACGCTCAGATAATTGAAAGACCTGAAACGCTTGATGTGACCTGATATGCTGAAATATTTCTAAGTAGTTTTTAGATATTATGCTAGTGATGGAGCTGCCATGACATTTTCACACTGGAGTTATTATTTCAGCTCTTTATAATTTTGCTCTAAAAATGACCTTTTAAGATAATTCTTTTGTATGTATGAGTGTAGTACTTCTTAAAAATGTTAAACTGGCAACACTTACCATCTGTTTTAATCGATATAGCAATGTCAGTAAAGTACCTCATGTACAGCACTGTCTTATTAATACCTTATTTCTTGCAGCAAGAAGGCAACCTAATATTTCAACATTCTTAATTATCTGCTGATATTTGCAAAGGCTTTGCAGAAATAACAGGATCAGATGTTCTCCATGAAGGCCTCTCTCATTTGGAGCACAAGCTTTCTCTTTTCCCCTCCCCCCAATCTGAAAGAGTCCAAATCTACTAAAGGAGATTAGTATCTGCTAAGGAAGGACTCAACGTTTAATAGACGTTCTACAAAGCCAGAAATGTGTGAAGAATGATGATCAAGGAGGAACTGGTGTTTCTTGTTAATTTCTGTGCTGTATGATTTGTTTAGCTTTTATTATTAAATCTGGAGGATTTTCTGGTGACTCCTATCTTCGTAGTGCCCAGAAGTTTAAGTAGGCAAACGCTAGATAAATTTTAGATGCTTTGTATTTCATATAATTTTATTGATATATGGTGTTTTTTTCTCTTGAGGAATGAGGCTGAAGTATGTAATCTGAGTACAGACGTTAACAAACAACATGTGCATCCTGTTTTCAGAAGTAAAAAGAAATATTCCTTTGTAGGGGAAAAAGGAGAGGAAGAATAAAGATAAATATTTGCTAAGGGAAAGACTAAGTTGGGCTGCGTGCTGAGGAAAGGGAGAAGTGCTGAGAGGGCTCACGTCATACCATGGAGTACAAAGAGTGAAGGAGGAAGGAGCGGTTGGGCACTGTAATGTGTTGATGAGGAGTAGGGGCAGGCAGCCATTAACTTCTGCTTGATCATCTAGACTTGCCAGGGCTGTGTATATACAAGCTGGAACCACTCTGAAATTGCAGGAAACTCTAAAAAGCTGAACTGGTACCCAGGCAGTCCATACCTGACTTGACATACATCTACTTTGACTTTCATGTTTAAAGGAATCGGAAGTTCCTCCACCTCTGTACAGCGCTTTCCCCTCCTCTTGCCCATATTGTGTGCTGAAAGCCCTCATTCTTTGAGGATTTCTCTGTCCCTCAGTCTGCTCTTCTTTATAAACCTAAATTTGGCGTAGTTGTGTTTACCTTTCCTTCCCCTTACACGGGATGTTTCCGAGTTGTGCTGCCAATCACTGTGTACGTGGCAGGATCGGGGCTTGCCCCTTGGCAGATAGGGGATTCTCCAGAACCTGCTGCTGCACACGTGAACATGGATCTGGAGAGTCTAAATGAAGAGATCTATTTGTCATATTAAGATTGAAATACGTTTGTGTGTGAAGAGAAAGTAGGATGGGGCCTCCAGCTAAAACGAAAAAAAAAACTCTAGAAAGTGAAAAGTTAAGGTATATGCAACTCCTGATGGCACAGGGAAGCTGGTCAGAGTTTTGAAGGAAAGACTATACTGCATGGGCCAAAGGCATATTTGGGGAGGGCTGGTAACACCGCTGTCAGGAAGGGAATTTGTTGTGCAGTTAGGCTATGTAGCCAAAGAATTGGCACAGCTAACGGGATGTTTGTATGAACACATCAGCTGATAATGTGATAATGGAGTAACACAGCAGCTTTCACCGTTTCTTGCTGCGACTCCAGTTCAGAGGTTGGACTATCACTTCCATCTGCATTTCCAGGCTTGGAAGCCTGAATGTGGCAGAAGACCCGTTTTTGGAAACGCTGGCTTAATGGAGATGACATGAAAGGAAGAGCTGCAAGAGCTGAGGAATAGGGGAGTAACTATATACTGCTGGGAGCAGAGAAATGAATCTATTCTCACTCATATAAAGACAGTGGAGCTACCAACTATTCAAACTGTCAAGTTTTGGCAATTTAGAATTGACTTCATTGCTAACCTGTATGCAGCTCAATATTAATAAACTTGGCCTGGGACCTGTTTGTAATTCAGGCTCTGCCACTGGCCTAATGTGAAAGTCATTTCACCTCCACTGCCTCAGCTTCCCTATCTGTAAAATGGAGGCAACATTCTTTGTGTCCTTGTTTAAATGTTCTGTGAACAACATGCAAGATATGAAAGAAATATCTCAACTACAAATCAGCAGGGCAACAATCCAGATGACAGGACTTCAGAATTGGGGCTAAAAAACTTAGAACATTCAATCACAGAATGAACATGACTTTTTTTTTCCTTTGGAATTTTCCACCCTTCCAAAATGCTCAAATATCTGAAATATTTCAAACCCGGGGGAAACACAGGCAGCGCTAGAGTGGTGATTTTTGAGCTGCTTTCCCTCATAAGCGAGTGACTAAACGCGCGGCCCCTGTGAACACGAGTGCGTCTGCCCGGAGACGCTGCACTGCCTCCTAAATCCCGGGTCTCCTCTCAGTGGGGCCCCCTCGTTGCGGCCAGGAGCCGCGGTGACCGG